GTCATTGGCATCCAATTCTCAAATAGAATTTGTTCCATGTAACCAGCATGAAAATACTAAAAAACATGAAATTTTATCATCTCTTTACATAACAATAATAAAATCTTAAATACCGTACCATCTTCATCGTCATTGTATGATTGCTTGGCATATCCATCGTTGGCATATGATGATCCACAGTTGCAATTTCATGGTGATGAGCATGATCAGCCATAGTTAGAACTTTATATAAAATAAAAATTTATCTATACAAAATGATTTTAACAAATGTTAAAGCTTTGAGAAGAAAAGGTAGCATACATCAACCTTCAGCGCTCAAGAAGAAAGCAAAACTATTCTGTTTACATTATGAATGAAATTAATTAAGTAACCTTTATAAACAATAAAGAACAAGGCTGGACTCAGACTAATCAAAATCCATCTGTAACGGTGATTTGAAATAACACGGCATGGATACTGCATACGCCAGGTTCAATTTTGCGAATTAAATTATAATAATAAGCATTTGACGGTAAAATAATGAGAGATGCACCCGTGTATACAAACAAACAAAAATTGGAAAGAATTCATAGTAGAACTAACAAACAAATAATAGAATAAAGAACAGTCAAAAATTGTTGACATTGCTTGCTTGCTCGCTCACCTTTCCTTCGATCTTATAAGAGATCGATAATTACTGGAGTATTTCGAGAACGAATAAGAAACCACAATTTCCATATTAGTGATATTTCTGTGCGGCAGCGACACCATAAGAAATTCTTCGACGTACATTCATAGGCACAATAAACTTGTTAGAAGATCTACAATACAAGGGAGATTACGATAAATTAGAAGACGAGAATTTAAGAGCTCTTAGGAGTGAGGTTCGCCAATGATGACCCTAATCATGCTCAGAGCTGTCCTAACCTTATTTCTATACGGATTCTAAATTTCGAATCGTCATTATGTGTTATCACAGTGTAAATCGTGACAGTGGTCTTAGCGACTTATAGTCAGTCGCTGCAAATCACTTTAGCAACTGACGCAAGCGCGTCAGTCACAGAGATTCCAGATCGTGTGATTTTAGCAGAAAAATTCTGATTTTGGAATTTTTTCTGATTTTATAATCTTTTTTTACTATTAAACGAAAATTTGATTTATAATTTTTTTCTAAAAAAGAAAAACTGGGTATGAGGCATCCTTTTCGTGATTAGAGAGCATTTCCGCACGTTAGGCCTGCAAACAATATAAAAAACACTCGAGAATTAAAATAAAATTATGAATTTTTTATGGTATATATATATACAGTTTTTTGATATAAAAAACTGTCTGGTGCACATTTAGTTGGAAAAAAGCTGTCAGCCCAGCGACTGACACACTGTTAACTGCTTCATGGGGTGAGACACTTTTCTGTCTACCATTATATGTCGAAAAAACGACTGACTATAAGTCATTAACATGACTGTCACGATTTACAGTGCATAGATCGAGAATGTCGAAGTTTTAAAATTTTGAAATATCAAATTTCTCGGTCCTGATCGCTTCGAAATTTCTCTTAGTTTTTGAACATTTTGAGAATTTTGGGATGTTTGGGAATTCTGAGAACTTTGGTTTAATGGCAAGAAATGTGTGGTTGTCTGAAAAACGCGGTGTTGCAGAGGTACATTAAGCTTTGCAAAATTGTTGGTTAGATATCTTTCCAACTGAAATTTATGCACAAGTCGCTGGGGAGAGTGCTTGTAGGAGTGAAGTAACCAGCAAGATGACTGTTGCTTGGAATACTATTTTTCGAAAGTGTCATAAAGGAGCTAATGCCACTTTTTGCGAGTGTTAACTAGAAGCCATTACCACTTTCGGATGTGGCAGCAAGCAGCTATTGCCACTTTTAATAGAAAATATTAATAAGTGTCTATCGCTCGTGACACAATTGTTTCAGAAGCGACATTTCTGCAAACCGCGCAGACACACTTGCAAAGCTGTTTATGAGTGAGTGGAGGGGAGAGTAAGCGGTGTTACAGTGAGTTCGAAAAGTAGTTCTTACTACAAGTGTTTGCATGATGCTGTATGAAATTAGTAACAGAACTTCAAAGCGAACAGAAATGAAACACATATCGGGTGTGCAGAATTAAATGTGTCCAGAAATCAAAATGAATGTTCTGGTGCTCCGAAGCGTCGCCGCTCTTTTGGTGTATCGTAGGTTCGATTTCGATCTATTTTTGCGATACAAAATGCGATTTTACTAAAATTTACTCGAGGGAAAAAGTTTCCTTTTTCGCCTTGACAATCGAACAGTAATGGAACGATTGAAACCCTGTTTGGTGTCAAATGAAAGTAGACACCTTAGTGAAGCTTTTTTTCTCAATCACAGGAGTAAGCATATACCTCAAGATTTGTCGTAGACTAAAACATGCAAAAAATGCGAGTAAAACTGATCTTCATCTTCATTGCACGTTAAAAAAAGAAGAAATGGCTGTGCAGGCAATGTGCTTTATTCTCTTGCATGTATATGTATGACGTCCACATGTCTGCTCTATACACAGACAGGTCCAGTCGATTTCTATATATTCACATTGAAAGAACGAAATCAAAAATTTCGATTTTCATTGGTCAAAGCAGATCGAAAAGGCAAGACAGAATAGTTTGGCTCACGAAAGTCAAGTGCATAACATCGGAAAAAATGCGTTTTGCATGAGCAAGAAATGTCTCCACGCCATGAGATTCTTACTCAAGAAATTCAAGAAAGTCATGTGCTTGAGAAAAAAAGCTTTACTAGGGCACCTAGACATTTTCTTTCATGCACCCAGCTAAGTGTAAAATTAATTTTCAGAATAGCTAGGTACTGGACTGGATTAAACTCGAAACTTAACGTTGTTCGATTGATTCTAGCTCCAGCGCCTCCCATCAAAAAATGTTTCAAGCCAAACTATACGACTTGCCACTCTTGCACTACAGGAAAGCTCTACAATTCCATGGAAATTCCTAGAAATGTCGGGTCGACACATTCAAATACATACTATTACTAAGATTGTGTTCAAATTCTATTAGCACTAGAATTGAAATTCAACCATAATCTGCCAATTCGTAGGGAACAACTGAACGTTAACACGTGATGTGCACTTTCATTGCTTCCTTACAAACTGGCAGATTCTGGTCAATTCTGCTAGGATTCTGCCAGATTTCAGCCGAATTCTGGTAAAACTAGAATCGGAACTCAACCAAGAATTCGGGAGAATTACAGTAGAATTTAGGAAGTAGAACTTAGGGGTTTATATTGTTTGACGCCGTTCTCGAGCTTCTGGCTTAAGTATAAAACGAGATGCACGTTTTCATAGACATCAATTAAAACTAAATCTGAATGTAGTATTATCAGGCTCTTGGTTTCTCTGCTATAGACTACAGATGTATTTCCTAGGATGATTTTTCCCTATATTCTGTGGCTTATAGCCGATACTTATCTACTTAACCATGTAAAGGTAGCATGATATCTAAGTAGTACTGTTTTCTGGGGGATTTTGTTTTTGGTTTTCCATCTCTCTTCATTAGTTAGAAAGAATAAAAGTAAATTCTGGACTATCTGGCAAGACGAGAAAAAGAAAGATGAGAAGATTCACATTTTTTCGACATTATTTTGTATTCTCGCATGCACCTCTTTTTGAATGACATTTTGTTGAACATGCGACTCCTGCTTTTTTACATGAACAGTGCTTTGTCGCACATTTCGTTTTAAAATCACACGTTGCTCCACTTACCGCTCCACGAACAAACAATTTCGATGCTTCTATCAAAGTAATTTCATCTTCAAGTTCAAACACATCTGAATTTTTTAAATCATCAGGACAAGCTGTTCTTAGACCAACAAGACTTTCAATGGTGAACTAAATCTCACTCACCTCTACTACTTTTCGAAATGTATCTTCCATTACCTCTAAGTCTGCATTGTATGTCTCATACTTTGCCGTATTCTCATCAACAGCGGATTTAACTCTTTCAGTTGTATTGTCAGCAACATCCAGAAAAACCCAAATTTCATAAAATTGCTGATATGAATCTCCCGTTTTTAAATTTTCTAGTGGATCAATTGATAAAAGCAGTACACTGTAAAGTCGGGAATTATTTATAGAAAATGCTCGGCGATTTTCAAAAAGTCCATATATGAAATCCTCACGGATTTTCTAGATTATAGGAAATCGAATTTCCAATAATGTAGAAAATCGACATCGATTTTCTACATTCTTGGGAATTATTTATAGAAAATCCTCAGCGAATTTCCGTTTACAAAATCCTCAGGGATTTTATATATGGACTTTTCGAAAATCAAAAAGTCGGATTATTTTCTACTTTCTAGAAAATCGCTGAGGATTTTCTAGATGAGGAAGAACAATTTAAGTGACAATGCTGATAATCAGTGACTTGCAAAGTGAAAATGGCTGAAGATAAACTTTTTCACCGTTACTAAAAGCTATTGAACTTCGAAGTTGTGTGGGATGTATTATTTCAGCCTTTATTATTGTGCATTGTCCAAATATATTTGATTTTTACGTTCACAGTTCAGAAGAATAAAAAAAAGACTGTTCTTTTATTAAAAAAATAAAGAAAATAACTTTGAAATTATAGGATCATGTCCTTGAGTTGGTAGAACCAACTACATTTTTGGAAGATACTAAATTCAGAAATAAAAAGAGGAATATTAGCAAGAGCGAATCACTTTGCGATCTTCAGAACGTTACGGTGGAACTCGACTTTGTCTTAATCAGACTTAACCCCAAGAACCTTTTCAGTGCCTCTTTGTGATCTCTAAGTGTCATACAACAATAATGCTTCTCGAAGAATATGCTGATTTGCAAGAAAACTGAGAGAACTTTCCCAATCTACTAACATTTTCGATGTTAAATACTAAACGGAACAGAGATCTGTTACAGGATAACTTGTTGCAATGAAGACTTTGATAGATGTGAAAGAAGCAAGAAAAAATGGCCGATTCGTCTTAGAAGATGACATTTCACGTTCGTCACAGCAATACTCATCTGACAACGAGGAGCTCAGCAGGAACAGACTCAGTGATGATGCAGCTAGCAACGATTGCCAATGATTACACTCTTCATCTGTCTCGTAGGTGTTCCATGCCACCAGATGACATTTCACTTTCGTCACAAGAATCCTCATCTGTCGACAACGATGTCATCAACAACTGACTCAATGATGGTGCAGCTACCCACTGAAAAAAATAATCAAAATTCATGCAGGATCCCGCAGGACTTTGCGCAGGATCCCGCGGGTTATCGGTATTAAAATATCTGGCGATGTTTCTTACCTTTACGCAGGATTTTTATACTGCCAGCTCTGACAGAACCCTGCATAGTTTATGTAGGTCAGCATGGAAAAAATCCTGCGTAAAGATAAGAAACATCGCAAGACTTTTTGACTTATTCAATCCACAAGTTTTTTCCTACGAGATCTGGCAGAATTTTGTTGGTTGAAAGAAAAAGGATTTTGTTCTCCATGTCTATCCTGCGGTATCCAGCAATCTTTTCTCACCAATGTCCGTCAGGATGACCGTGGTGGAAGTTGTCTGTATTTTATTTTTTTTGGAAAGTTAAGTACTTTTTTCTTATAAAGTTATAAAATGTGCGTGTTTAATAAACTTCTAGAAAACGTATACCTTAATATTTTGACTTTAACACGCATTTTCATGTGTACAAAACAAAACTATTATTAGATAGCTGAAAAGATCTTTTTTATGTCAGGAATATTCTATTTTTTTCCATCAATAAGACATTAAAGTCATTAGAATGATCACACTACTGTGAAAAATAGATGTATAGCAAAGCAGAGATATCACACTATTCTAAATTTCTTCTGCTTTGAATGGTATCTTCTCGTTTCGCCCCGTTTATTTTCTAGCATTCTATTCATTTTTTTCTATCAACTGTGTACTAATTAATAGTAATATAAGTCCTTAAGATAACGTAGGAAACTGATACATGGCTGATATATTCATACGTTGATACGTGTCAATATAGACTAGTTCGTTTTTCTAAACCTGGATCAATAGCTATTTAATTTTAACCAAGTCATTTTGTATACTCCACGATAGAATTTAACTGTTTAATGGAAAAGCTTTTGCAAAGAAACAATACTCATGAATGAAACGATGGCAAGGATTTGACGAAACGAGAGGCTGAAAGTTT